CTGTGGGTCTGTGGTCTGTGGGTCTGTGGTCTGTGGTCTGTCTGTGGGTCTGTGGGTCTGTGGGTCTGTGGTCTGTGGTCCTGTGGGTCTGTGGTCTGTGGTGGTCTGTGTCTGTGGTCTTTGGGTCTGTGGGTCTGTGGTCTGTGGTCTGTGGGTCTGTGGGTCTGTCTTTGGTCTGTTGGTGGTCTGTGGTCTGTGGGTCTGTGTGGGTCTGTGGTCTGTGGTCTGTGGTCTGTGGTCTGTGGGTCTGTGGTCTGTGGGTCTGTGGTCTGTGGTCTGTGGGTCTGTGGTCTGTGGGTCTGTGGGTCTGTGGTCTGTGGTCTGTGGGTCTGTGGGTCTGTGGTCTGTGGGTCTGTGGTCTGTGGGTCTGTGGTCTGTGGTCTGTGGTCTTTGGTCTGTGGGTCTGTGGGTCTGTGGTCTGTGGGTCTGTGGGTCTGTGGTCTGTGGTCTGTTGGTCTGTGGGGTCTGTGGGTCTGTGGGTCTGTGGGTCTGTGAGGTGGTCTGGTCTGTGGGTCTGTGGTCTTGGTCTGTGTGGGTCTGTGGTCTGTGGTCTGTGGGGTCTGGGGTCTGTGGTCTGTGGTCTATGGGTCTGTGGACCTGTGGGTCTGGTCTGTGTGTCGTGGGTCTGTGGTCTTGTCTGTCTGTGGTGTCTGTGGGTCTGTGGTGGTCTGTGGGTCTGTAGTTTTCAGGAGTTGAGGACAGGAGCTCTTGAAGGACCCAGGTCTGAGTCTGGACCGGGATCTGAACCGGTTTCTTGTCACTAAGTCCTGGACTCTGCCCCAGGACGAGCTGCACCTGTCGCTCCTGTTTCTCCTGTCGCTCTTGTTGCTCCTGTCGCTCAGCTGGAAGAAGAAGTGAGATCAGACTCAACAGACCAGAGGCTCAGAGGACGAGACTCCGCCCACAAAAGTGTGCAGGGTCTCACCTGTCTGTCACCTGTCTGTGCAGGGTCTCACCTGTCTGTGCAGGTTGTAGTCGGTGCAGGTGTGTGTGTTCTTCCTCTCTCTCTCTCTCTCTCTCGCTCTCGCTCCCTAAACACAAAAAACACTTTAGAAACTTCAGAAATTGTCTTTTTTTTTGTTTGTTTCATCAAAGTTTTTTCGTTTTTTTGTGTTTCTCTCTTTTCCTCTGACCGTTTTTCCAGCTTCTGTTTTCTGTCGTTTATCAGGATGTTCCCTCACTCCTCTCTCTCTCTCTCTTTTCCTCTGACCGTTTTTCCAGTCTCTGTTTCCTGTCGTTTATCAGGACGTTCCCTCGCTCCTCGTCCTCCCTCCGCTCACAGCTGGACTTTATCTTTCCCTCTGTTTTTCACTTCTCCTTCCCTCTCTCCTCTCGGGTTTATCTTTCCTCGGCGTTTCCTCTCTTCTCTCTTTCCTCTCTTCTCTCTCTTCTCTCTCCTCTCTTCTCTCCTCTCTCTCTCCTCTCTTCTCCCTCTCTTCTCTCCCTCTCTTCTCTCCTCTCTTCTCTCCCTCTCTTCTCGTCGTTCCGGCTCCAAAAACATTTTCTTCCCAAACAGAGCAGAGGGGGCGGGGCTTCGCTCACATGTTTTTCTCATCACCAAAACATGAAAAATAAAAGATCCACACGACGCCTGCACATGACCCGACTCCCCTCCTCACCTCTGGTCCTGTAGATCCGGTGAGACGACCCTGAGACGCTCCTGAGGTCCCGACTCAGATCCTGGTTGAGATCCTGGTCCAGAGACCCGGTCCGGTTCTGGGTCTGGGTTCTGAGGAAGACCTGGTCTGCGGCTCCACAGGTGCAGAGCTTCATGAGGAGAACCTGAAGAGGAGCAGAGACGTGGTTTGAGACGTGGTTTGACTTGAGGCTCAGATCCTGAAAGAACCAAATCAAAACATCTTCAGTAAAAAAAAAAGGTACAAATTGTCTGAGGCGACGTCCAACAGAAGAAAACAACAAGGCCAAAAATTCAAGTTAATGATCAGTAACACTTTATAATAACTACACATTATTTAGCCTTAATAAAGCATGAACAAAGACTTAATTAATAATGATTCACGCTTAGTAAATGTTTAATAAAGGATAATTTGTCTTCACTTTAGAAAAGCTCAGAAAGACTTAACTGACAGAACAGCTGCCTGAATGATCATTGTATTACATTATTAGTAAATCATTCTCTCATAGTTTATTAATGATTAATAAATGCTCAAATGGTTCGTTCATGAGTAATTAAGCATGAAATAATTATGAGTAACTATTTACAGCACAGACAAATTAAGTGCAAGTGCTAATTCAGGCAGTAATTAAGTAGTTACTAAGAATCATTATTAATTAAGCCTTTGTTCATTATTAATTAAGCCTTTGTTCATGCTTTATTAAGGCTAAATAATGTGTAGTTATTATAAAGTGTTACCGATGCATCTGATATAAGAAGTGTATTGAACAGATACATATGTACTCGAGTTTATCAAACTGTTCACCTTTTTTCTGTACCATTTTTGGTTGTAAAGTTCCATCTGTTTTAAACAGACCATGAATGAAACATGGAACAAAAATTATTTCCCAAATTTCAAAAACCTGAAAATCATGTAAATAAATGTTTGTATTTCATCATATCTTGTGTTATTCCATCTTTGAACTGTTGATGAAGGGAACAGGATTTTTTTATTTATAAAAATTTTTTTAAATGATAAAAATGTTCTTGGAAGGACTGACATATTTTATAGAAATAGTTTCTTTCATTTTGAAGTAATATTAAAGTTTTCAGAAGAAAAAAAGCCACAAATGATGTAAAATCCTGCACTTCTACTTGTTTGTACAATTTTCCCTCCGTTACTTTTCCCTCCGTTACCATGAACTTTCTTAATAAAAAATCTCATGAGTCAAAAAGTCAGAGGTTTTTCAACCTAATCTTGTACCATATGGTAGAAAACTATATGAAGCAAATATTCAAACCAGTTTGTTAAGGATATGGAAGTGAGAACCAAGAGTTATCACTGTTTGGATTTATTGACCAAAAAGTGCTGCATATTTCATTCCCTCCGTTACCACTTGACCGAACCCCTGAATGAGTCAGATCTTTTTAAATGTGCAGATTTCAGTCTCAGTTTTGGCTCCACAGCTCAGGGACAGGAGCCTGTGGTTCCTCTGAGGAGCAGCTGCTTCAGTCTGTGACAGGAACCAAACCAGAGACAAGCTCATGTAGATCCTTCACCAAACCCGAGTGAACGTGTGTGGACTAAAGGCCTGGTCATATTTAACCAGACTCACCAGCTGCTCCCAGTCTGGGGTCCGGTCCGGGGTCCGGTCCGGGCTCCGGTCCAGGGTCCGGTCCGGGGTCCGGTCTGGGTTCTGGGTCCTCAGTTGTCTCTGCAGATGGAGCACCAGGTTTTGAAGTCCACTGATCTTCTCCACGAGTCTGCAGACCTGCTCCAAGTACTCGAGACCAGAGAGAGACCGAGCCTAGACCAGGACCAGAGAGAGACCGGGTTTAGACCAGGACCAGAGAGAGACCGGGTTTAGACCAGGACCAGAGAGAGACCGGGTTTAGACCAGGACCAGAGAGAGACCGGGTTTAGACCAGGACCAGAGAGAGAGAGACCGGGTTTAGACCAGAGACCAGAGACAGACCGGGCCTAGACTAGGACCAGGGATTTCTCTGGTCTGGCCAAGATTTTAAGACTTAAATCAGGTTTTTCATCTTGTTTTCAGATTTATGATCCACTTACTCGTTCTGAATCGGTGGTAAAATGTTAAAAAGTGTCACATATTTTTCTTCCATGACTCAACTCCTCAGAAAATCTTAAATTTATGCAATAAATGTTAAAAGAAGAAGCGACAATCCAGTTTCTCCTGCAACTCTTCACTTGTTTTTAGATTCAGTGACACAAGACGACGACGAACAATTTCAAGATTTTCTCTCTACAATTTAACATCTTTGAATTTATTATCAGGTCAAAAACATTTGTAAAAGTCCATAAAAGTTTGTTTATCTCCAACTGAGCTTCATAAACTTATTGTCCAGCTCCTGAACTCTGAGCACAAACGCTTCAGTCTCGTCCAGAGTCGATTATTTGACGAGAACTTGTTCAGTAAAAAGATCTTCTGCCTGGACACAACATCTCAACACTTTAAACTCATTTTCTGACAGATTTCAGTTTTTAAATTTTACATTTTGGCCAAGACACACACACACACACACACACACACACACACTGTGGTCCCGCTTCAGAGCTGCTCCGCTCTGCGTCTGAAACTGAAGATCCTCAGGAATGTTTTGGACGTTACATAAGAACCGCGGCAGAACTGAAGAATCTGCTGCGTCACGACTCAAGAATCTGCAGAGGAACAAAGGTCAAACCCACAAGCTCCTGGTGAGAGGGAGGAGGACAAACCCACAAGATCCTGTCCTGATTCAGGCCTGGTCTAGTCCAAGTTTAGTCCTGGTTTAGTCCCACTTCAGACCTGGTTTAGTCCTGGTTTAGTTCTGGTTTAGTTCTGACAAAGAAGAGTCTGAACTTTGTGTCAGTTTTTGTTTCATGTGGAGACTTCCTGTAATCACAGAGTCTGAACCTGCACCTGAAACACACCTGCACCTGACACACACCCGCACACACACACCTGCACCTGACACACACTGACACACACCCGCACCTGACACCTGACACACACCCGCAACCTGACACACACCCGCACCTGACACACACCGCACCTGACCACACCTGACACACACCCCACCTGACACACACTGACACTGACACACACCCGCACCTGACACACACCTGCACCTGACACACACCCGCACCTGACACACACACTGCACACACACCTGAGAAACAAACCAGGAAACACCTGGTGCACATCTGTCCTGATTTGATGACATCATTTTCCAGAGTCATAAATCCTGCTGAGTCACACACACCTGTAAAACCTAAACCAGGACTAAACCAGGACTAAACCAGGACTAAACCAGGACTAAACCAGGACTAAACACTAGGACTAAACCAGGACCAGGACTAAAACCAGGACTAAACCAGGAC